TTTGTGGATACATGGGGCAAGGAAATCACTTGATATTCAAATGCTTCTCGAATAAAATGACAGTCTACTTCAATGTGTTTCGTGCGCTCGTGATAAACTGGATTGGCAGTAATGTGAATAGCACTAGTGTTATCAACATGCAATGGAGTAGGCCCGGTGGGTGAAAACCCAAGCTCTGCTAGTAAACCTCGTAGCCATATGATCTCTGAACAAGCAAGAGACATAGCACGATATTCTGACTCCGTAGATGATTTAGAAACTCGATCCTGCTTCTTGCTTTTCCAGGAAACGAGAGCAGTTCCTACAAACATACACCATCCCGTGGTGGAGCGACGAGTGTCTACACAGCCAGCCCAATCAGCATCACTATAGCCAGATAGTTCAAGAGAAACACCATTTGGAAAATAAAGTCCCTTGGTAACGGTTCCTAGAACATAACGAATAATACGTCGAACTGCAGCCATATGGAGATGACGGGGATTCTGAAGAAATTGACTAACCTGCTGAACAGAAAACGAGAGATCTGGACGAGTAATCGTAAGATATACTAAGCTGCCCACAAGCCTACGATATACTGTTGGGTCCGGAAGAAGATCTCCTTCATCTTTTCGAAGTTTAACATTTAGCTCCATAGGAGTATCAACTGAAGAAGTGCCACTAAGACCTGCAGATTCAATGATATCCCGAGCATACTTGGCTTGATTTAAAAAAATACCAGTTGAACCCACAGTAACCTCTAGCCCCAGAAAGTATGAAAGTCCTCCAAGATCCTTCATATGAAAAGAACTATGCAAATGTTGTTTGAGCTGAGAAATAATTGAGTGATCAGTTCCAGTGATAACAATATCATCTACATAGACGAGAAGCACTACAATCCCGTCAGAAGTATGTCGGAGAAACATGGATGTATCATGCTTACTTGGCTGAAATGAGAACTGCTGAAGTGTAGCACGAAACTTTTCATACCAAGCACGAGGCGACTGTTTTAGTCCATACAAAGAACGGCGTAACTTACAAACCTTTGTGGTGGGACTAGAGAAAAGACCAGGAGGTGCACGCATAAAGATATCTTCTTTGAGATCACCGTGAAGGAATGCATTTTTTACATCCATTTGACATAGAGACCATCCCTGGGAGGCAGCAATAGCAAGAACAGTCCGGATTGTGGTCATTTTTGCTACAGGAGCAAAAGTTTCCTCATAATTGACTCCATATTCTTGATGATTACCGAGTGCCACCAAACGTGCTTTATAACGATCAATACTGCCATCAGATCTAACTTTGACCGAATACACCCACTTGCATCCAAGAGGAGTGATATTAAGAGGACAGGATACAACATCCCATGTCTGATTAATTTCCAGAGCCCGCAATTCTTCCTGCATTGCCTCTTGCCAACATTTATGTTTGGCAGCCTGTGAATAACATGAGGGAATAACAATAGATGCTACTGTAGCAGCAAGAGCATGAGAAGAAGATGAAAATCCATACCGATCTGGTGGTACTGAACATCGTGTAGAGCGACGAAGAGGAATCTCCACAGTGCTCGTATCCTCAAGAGGAAGCTCTGGCACAGGATCTGATGGCAGGGAAGGAGGTGGCAAAGAGTCTGGCGGACGGCGTCTAGCATATACTATTCCTTTGAACCTGGAGCTAGGAGGACTAGAGACACTTTCAAACGTAGGTAATATGACAGAAGATGAGTTATTAGTAAAATAAGTATGATAGAAATACTGATTTTCAAAGAATATAACATTCCTGGAGACTCGCAACTTGTTTTCTTGCGGATCAAAACACATGAATCCTTTTTGACTAATGCTATATCCTAGAAACACACAACGAGCAGACTGGGCAGAAAGTTTATGACGTTCTGTGGGCGGAAGATGAACAAAACACACACAACCAAAAGGGTGAAGATTAGTGTACACTGGATGACGTTTATGGAGCCGGAAATAAGGTGATTCAAACTCCAAGACCTGTGATGGAAGTCGGTTTATTAGGTAAACTGCTGTAGACAAAGCTTCAACCCAAAATCGAGTAGGAACTTTGGATTCTATAAGTAAGGTCCGAACGATATCAAGAAGATGACGATTTTTTCGTTCCGCAACACCATTTTGTTGAGGAGTATAAGGACATGATCGTTGAGATAGGATTCCCTTAGATTCAAGAAATGTTTGAAATTCATGAGACATATACTCCCCACCAGAATCAGTACGAAGAACTTTGATACTTGTTGAAAATTGAGTTTCTACCAAGGCAAGAAAGTTTTGAAATGTTCTGAAAACATCAGCCTTCGATCGAAGAAAATATATCCAAGTGTAACGACTATAATCGTCAATAAAGGTAACAAAGTATTTGTGATGAGAATGAGACACAACAGGAGAAATGCCCCAAACATCACTATGAATGAGCTCAAGACAATGGGAAGCACGACTACCATTAGATGGAAAAGTAAGAACTTTGCTTTTGCCTAGTTTACATGATTCACAATCAAAATGAGAAAACATATTCTCTTTATTACCCAAAAGACCAAGACGTAACAAATGAGAAAGAACTCGAGGATTCGGGTGGCCAAGTCTCCTATGCCACACCGATCCTGAATTTTTATTACATGCAAAAGCAGAAACTGAGTTATATCTAGGAAAGTATAAAGGAAAAAGACGTCCAATCCTAGGCCCCTTCGCTATCAGCTCCCCTGACACTTGATCCTGCACAAGACAACCATCACAAGAGAATTTCACGTCACATCTATCATCAAGAAGTTGTCCAACAGAGATAAGACTTGTAGATAATTTGGGACAAACAAATACATCTTTAACCCGATGAGAAATATCACCAATTGCGGTAATAGGCAGCTTATTACCATTGGCAGTTTCAATAGATAAAGAACCATCATATTTGCGAATATTATTGAGTCCATGTACTGAATGTGTCACATGATTGGAGGCTCCAGAATCTAGAAACCAATTAGAATAGGGTAAAGAGTTACCTTGAATTCCCAATGCTGAGAAAGCAGAAATTATGATCTGTTGTACCATTTCAGGTGTAATAGAAGTGGCAGAAGTAGAGACGGGAGTATTTGACACGTTTGGAGAAGTGACCACAGCTTCTGTGGTAGCCTGATATGCGGTATTTTTCCTGCGGGGTGGACGAATAGAGCAATCTTTGATGATATGTCCCAGCTTCTTGCAATAATTGCATACCTTATTAGGGCAATGCTGCGCAATGTGACCGTAATTCTTGCAAGAATAACACTGTGTGGCACTCATATCTCTAGGGTGAGGTTTAGCTTGAGTGACATAAGCAACAGGAGTGTGACCTTGTTCCAAGGTAGCCTGGGTAAGTAGACGCTGCTCTTCACGAAGTAGTTCCCGAAGGCAAACTTCCAGAGACGGAACTGGATTCCTATTCATTAAAGAGGAGCGAGTGTTCTCAAACTCGGAGCGCAGTTTCATCAAGAACTGTCTGCGCTGCCGTGCTTGTAACATATCCCGAAGAGGCTCAACAGCAGTTTCAGGGACGTCAACGAGACATAAGTCGATATATTCAGTCCAAAGCTCTAAAAGACTGGAATAATATTGCTGAACAGTTAAGGAACCTTGTTGGAAGTTAGAAATATCCAACTCCAACTGAAATTGATGGGCTGCATTATCCTGATGATAAACTTGTCGTAGATAAGCCCACATGGCTTTAGCTGTGCGATGGGGGCGTAGGTTAAGAATAATATGAGGATCGAGTGACCCTAATATCCAACTGCGAATTTGAGCATCTTTCACCTCCCAGGTTGCATCCCGAGTGGCAGAATTCTGTGTGGAAGAGTCATCCACGTGAGCCCACAAATCCTTTCCTTTCAGAAAGGTTTCAAATTGAAACGCCCAAGTAACATAGTTCTTGCCATCAAATCGAAACACACAAGTTTTCTAATTTATCCATGATAACAAGAGAACAGAATAAATCTGAGAAGGAAATGTGTTGATCTGAGATAGAAGATGGCTGGAACTAAGTGCTGAGATGACAGAATCTGAGAGGAAACCCTAGGGTTTGTGTTAAAAAAAAATCTGAGACGACGACCAAGAACTCCAAGAACAGACCCAACTGAATTTTAGGGTTTGCTGAAAAAAATGCTTATGGCTCTGATACCATGTCACTAATTTTACCAGAAATGATAAACTCAGGAACTAAGTAAAATCAGGAACTAAGAACTGGGAATGCTGGAAAGCTTGAGCTGCCCTGCTCAGCAGTTTATTTACACTTATATAGGCAACATGTGAATATATGTACAAGGAAACAAATCAGGGGATTCTTACAATTAATGCAAGATATCCCTGCACTCAAAGCCAAATAAAATCTTCCTATAATTACAAAGATCAATAAGATACAAAGATATTTTTCTACTGATTCTCTGATTGACATTTATCATATCGGTAATCTTTGCCTCGAGGGTCCCTTGTCTCTGGTTGATGTCTGCCATGAAGCTTTTGAAGGTTTCAACATTCAGAGTTTCATTTCCCGTCGTCCTGGATGCTGATACCAAATTGTTAAGGGCCTTGGTACAGGATCTTGTCCAAGGCCGTTGATAATGAAAGAGAGGATCTGAAGCTATGGTGTTGGAATAAAAAACCCTTAACTTCCTGCCCTGGGCAAGGAAGGTGATCTCTGGCTCCACCAGTAAATTAAGAGATTAATTAATCCAAACTTCCCTTTATTCAAACTGATAAGCCATATATATAGGCAGAAATAAGTTTCTAAATAATATTAGGAAACAAATCTAAATTATTACAGACTCATTAATTAGAGACTGCCTAGAATAAGGAAGGCTAAATAAATGGAAACAACTATGATAAGGAAAGCAGAATAAAAGGAAACAACTAGAATAACTTAAGGGAAATAATTAGGAAAGCTTGTGGACAATAATTAACTAGGCCCCTTTTATGCGCCTCTGGTACACACGACCAAAATGAAGTGTATCATTATATAAGTATGCATGCTGAGAAAATTACCACTTCCATAAGCATTAAGATCTCCGGCTCATCTAGCAGGGAACCAACCTTTCTTAGCCCAGCACTCAACTCACTGTGTGTAATCCTTACATCACGGTCAGTATCCAAAAGAGTGAACGCAATATGGATAAATTCTACCTCTTCAGCTGAAAGATGTTCAGCTATTACCTATATCATTAATTTTGCAATATTAATGAAATTCATTACTTATGACAGAGTTATAAACACCAAATGCATAGGATGTGATATACGTGACATTACGGCTTTGGCATATCCTTACCCTTAAGGCCATCTTTTTAAATCTGTTCATCCCGGCAAACTGCTGGAGCCTTGATCTAACTGATGAGGCTGGAATTAGTGGTCAGTAAGATAATTAAACTTACTCAAACAGTAAAATGATTACAAAAAGTTAACAACATGAATTGGGGGGTCAAATGGACAACTACCTCCCAGTGGGAAGTTCAGAATTCATTTAGCACCCCAAACAATGCTCTATCTAGAATATAATTAGATTTTAAAAAATAATAACATCTCGCGGTAAAACAATTGATGCTTTCTTCACAACATGAAACCAAAGGATACTCTACCAAGCGACCATATCTGAAAAACAAACATCTTAGATCATACTCATCAAATTAACTTATGTCATATCCACCAAATTGGAAGGAACATGATGCTTCTGTCATATCCATCACATTGAAAGGACAAAATGCTTCTGTCGTATCCAGAAAATTGAAAGGAACAAAATGCTTCTGTCATATCCAGCAAATTGAGAGGACGGATGCTTCAATATTACTCACCAAGGGCTTGTAAAGCAGTGCAGCGTTTCTTTGAGGGAAGATCTAGGTGGTTAGGAGAAAAGGCTTGCCTCTTCCAAGCACAGTTGCGTTGAGGTGCAAGGGATAGATTTGGCAGCTCCCTAAAGGAGGTATCCAATTTGGCAGATATGGTTTCCCAATCCAATTTGGAGTTATCCACTAGGGGAAGTAACTCCTTATCTTTCTCTTTTGTACACTGCACCTGTACATTCAAACACAAAATCAGTCAACCTTTTTAAAAAGCGGAAATCAAGAAATAATAAGATAGTTTGAAAAAATCAGAAACAACACATCATCTTCGAAATAGAATTTTCAGACAGCGGGAGGAGTATAGATGTTGATCATCCCACAAGAAAAGCTTGCGAAACTGCATTTCAGCTACGGATCAGTTGGGGTTGATATATGATAGGGACCTACCTATTAGATTAATAATAGAAAGAATAATAATAATTGTTGTATTAAGGGTGTATGCAGTATTGTAGTCTAAATAGATGAAAAGGGGAGTTAGTAGGCAGGCTTTTGGACATTCTGTCTTGGGACTGGGAAGATTAGAGATTAGTCGTCTCTATCTTTGGGGGCTTCGGCCTTTGTTACTGTTACTGTTCATCTTCTTTAATAAGAATTTTCAGTTGTTTTCTTATTAATCTTTTTGTAAATTGTTCTGGATTTCTGGAGGTTTCTATCTGATAGGGTACCAACGGAATAATCTGCAGAATTTACACAAGAAAGACAAGAACAAAAGCAAGCCTTATTGAAGATGAACAAGAAGTTCTGGCCGAAGCCCCCAAATTAAGCCGAAGCCCCCCAAAGAAAGAGAAAGTTCTCGATCTTCCCAAGTCCCAAAGTCCAGTCTAAAACAGCCTGCCCTCCCCTTCCCAGACTATTCTATTTATAGATTTCCAATACAGCCTACTCTAGTTATTATTTAATAACCAAAATATAACTACAACTAACTCTTCTATTTATTAGTCTAATAGGTAGATCTCTATCAATACTCCCCTCCTAAACATCCACCTTGCCCTCAAGGTGGGTGATAGGAAACAGCCAAGATCTTTTGTTTCCTCTTCATCCTTATGCCTCTCCCTTCCCAATACTTGAATGCTTGCTGGACCTTTAGCTTCGTTTCTTCCATCTTCTTCCATATGTACTTCATGGCAGGAAGACTCAGATGCAAGGACATGGTGACATAATGATCCTTAAGTTTGTGAAGGATATAATATCCCAAAGATGCCTGGCAGCTTACAAGCCCCACAAACCGTTCAGATCCTGATGTCATGTACTGCCGGATGTCTACAGGGGCACCAGCACCACTTGGAGAAAGGAAAACTTGAGTGTTGGTTCCCTTTTTAGGTGTAATCTTGTTTCCTCAGGGATATTGCTCAGCCTCTTTGCTTCCCTGACTGAATTTGCATCCAACTTTATTAGCCCGAGTGATGAGAAGGAAGCTATAACCATTCTTCCCATCAAATAGGGTTCCCCTTCTATATTTCCAACAGCTTCTCCTAGCTTGATTTTCATTGAAAAAATACTAGTAAAACAGTTCCGGCCTGTTTACTAACAGAGATATTTTCCTGATTTCATTTTCTGTTTTCAAGTCTCCAGTTTTCTGTTTTCGTTTTCCAGTTTTTGTTTTCCAAATCAGAAAACATGTTTACCTAAGTTTTTCAATTTTCCATTTTATTTTTACCAAAAAAACGTTGACTTAATATTTGGGAAAAAATGCACAATTACAAACATTTGGAATAACACAAAAAATTAACATAAATGTTCCCCAACACTGAAAGTTCAATAAGTGACATTATGTTAATCAGAACAATAGTCATACTTCTACATCTCATACATTGTAATCATCCCATATTGTATTTGCAATACTTTCTCGAATATCATGCATTTGTTGATGTTGAGACATATCAAATTCGAGTGATCCATTTTCACTTGTACTTGCCTCCGTGTTAAATATCATACCCTCTTCCTCGTACTCCAAGAACAAACAGTCGTTCCTATCTTGCATGCAATGAAGTTATGCAATGCGTAACAAGCTATGGGAATGTGAACCTGTCTTCGCAATGGGTAATCCAGTTTCATATATTGATAAGTGAAACAAGATGTAATTGTTGTTAGAGAGTGAAATGGAGTAGAGTTAAATACTTAAATATACCTGAACATAGAAGGTGTGAAAAAAAAAAGCAATCATATTTACTTAGAGTATACTTTATAGAGACTATCTTAACAGTAATCGAATTATTTATCATCTTTTGGTATTGTAGGATGTATTAGGATCAAATGAATCAAGATATGCTTAAATGCACCACACAAATCTAAAACATTAAACGACATGCATGATCTTTAAGTTAAGATGATGGATAAAAGAACAATAGTGATGCTATTTACATAACAAGGGCTAAAAAAAGAACAACTAACATGCTCATTATCCACTACATGGAGTAGGACAGCCCTTTGGACCTAGGGAATTTGGAAACGAAGTAAAAAATAAAACACATCATTGATCTATACTCACTTTTCCAATCCCATTTACTAGCAGCTTTATTAAACAATGAAAGAAGAATTCTTAGGCAATGTAATCAGACTTTTAAAGCAATGAAAAAACAATCTATCCATAATAGACTTCCAATTTCTTTTTGAAGATATAGATACATGTATATATCCATAATGAAAAAACAGTCTATCCTTGTTAACAGAACAGGGGCTTGAATGGTTTTTTTAAAGAGCATATGGTAGAAACAAATTGGAGGTCAAATTGCTCTTACTTCCAACTAAAACAAAAACAGTTGTTTATGCTTCCCGAACGTACCTCTTTTCTTCAATCTCTACCCCAGATTTGTTAACCGTAACCCCCATATATTCTGCAAAAAATTTAAATCCTTTCCCTATTGGTCTATACTCTTCACACACAAGGAAAAGTTTAAAGGGTCAAACAAGAAAAATAGCTTTCTTTTCATATGATCATCATAATCATATTTAAGAATGAATGAGTAATACTTGTTTCCAATAACAGAAAAAGGAACAAACGCAAAAAAAAAAAAAAAAAAAAATCCCATGTTTAACTACATATTCCTTCCAAACACCCCAGCCTAGGTAGTCCAAATTAGCAGAATAAATTAGTCACACAAATTAACAACTAGTTTAGTAGGGTGAATTTGACTACAAATTGCAGAACTCAAATAAGGTAAATTATTAAAACTTATTTAAACTATGAAATTGTATTGCAGAAACTCAAATAAGAATTTGACTACATATTAAAACTTATTAAGACTAATTATAACCCCATAAATAAAGTAAAACCTGAATAACTTCTAATCGTAGACTACTTCAACAGAAAAAGCCAGGAAAAAAAAATTAAGCTCAACTGGCCTTCAAAATGGTAGGGGGGAGTCACAAGGGTATAACTTTCAGACTTCAATTGCTATCAGGTTTGCAATCGATTTAGAATTTTCAACGAGGTAAACTGAAAATGCCATTTAATTTCAAAGATTACCTTAAACTCGTTGATAGAACACGAGCCGACTGAAGAATTGGGAGATTTCGTGATGTTCGGGTGCAGCTCCTAGTAGCGACGCCCTGTTTGGTATATCTGGAGCTTGGTTGACATGTGATGCTACGAGTTGTAAAACACCGGGGGAGAAGAAGTGTGATGTGTTTGGGGAAGCAAGCACGACTTTAATAGGAAGGGAGAAGGCAATCATAACGATATAGGTAGAGCTCAGTTAAGGAAGAGAATGCTAGCGAGTAAATAAGGTAGACGGAAGAGAAGACGAGCGATTAAATAGCTACTGTAGCTCCGCGTTTTCTGAATTCAGAAAACGTCTAAAGGTCGCTTTTCCATATCAGAAGGAATAAGCGGAACATGTTTCGTTTTTTTACTTTTGTAAAACGGTCAGGTAAACACGTTTTCTAAATTTTCTATCTCCAGTTTTCCAAAATTTTGCAAACAGGCCCTTCATTTCTGGATTATTGGAGCCTAAGGCCATTTGGTAAGGTTGAAAATTTGTTTCAGCTACCAATCCATTAATAGTATATTGAATAGTAGGGTCCAGGACCACCCTGATTTTATCCCACGGGTATTCAAGATTAAGCTCATCAGCCCATTTCAATCCATAATTAGAGCAGTCCCAATTTTCATCAAATATCAAACTGTCCCTCTTAACTGCCATCCTAAGTTTAACATTGGGGTGAGTGCAGACTGAACCTTCAATTGCATTAATAGGTGTATCATCCTTCCACAACTGTTTTGCTAAGCCCCCCTGGAATGACACAACATCTTCACCCCTAACTTCTTGGCCCTGAGGCATATCACTTATAGCAGTAGCAGAATTGGTGTTCATGTCCTGAACATCAGGATTCACATTCACTTTACTCAGATCATCAGAAATTCTTGAGCTACAAATTGTTTCAACTCCATTTGCCTTTTCTCCCATTGAGTTATGATTGACCTTCATGATGTTTTTCAGCAAAACCATGTCCTCCACTGCTGCCCGTTTAGTATTCCCAATCTCATTCCACCAAACAACTCCCATAGAATTATCAGTATAATTCTCTCTGCCACTGCATGTTCTTCAAAAGGGAAATCCATTATTACCTGATTCATTGCGGATGAGAATAAAGGATCAGCTCCTCTGTCACCAAGTTCAGCCACAATTCTTTGGTTCCCTCCTTGCCTGTCGGATGAAAGAAGTCCACTTACTCTATAAGAATTCCAACCTTTGCTGCTATTATTCAAACTGGAGGGGTTGTTACAAGAGAGGAAATGATTAATTTCTCCAGCTTCAGGTTCCAGATCAACTGATGGTTTATCATTGTGTTCCTCTTCTTCATCGGTGTGCTGCTGATTAGCCAAGTCCTGCTGCGACTCTGGAAACTCAATTTGAGATTTCGAACTGGATTTGTCGTGATAATCTACTGGAGACGAAGATGAAGAATCTCCTCTCACTCGTGTCTTTCTTGGACGCGAATTGATCGCAAGTGAGTAAGTCTGTGAAGGGTAAGAAGAACTTCGCGATTGCGAACTAAAAGAAACGGATCGCGATTCAGTCTGCGAACTGGTAAACAATGGTGAAGACGAGGATTCTCTTCTCAATTGCGTTTCTCTTGGACGCGAACTAGGAGTCCTCCTTAGCGATTCATTCTGCGACGAGCGAGGAGAGGAGCGATGCGAAGATCGGTGCGAATGGTGCGATGTATGTCGCGAACGACTTTGAAGTCGGTTCTGAAATTCTGCGACGCTAGCTTGCATCGACTCTTGCATAGTGACCATCATCGTTTTCAGCTTTTCTTGCGACGCGACCATACTCGATTGTATCTCCTTCATCATTCGGTCTATATTATTAGAACTCTCTTCCATTCGTGGTGTCATTCACTATTGTCATCTCAAATTCCTCCATTGTTTGGATGATTCAGATTCTCAGTCTCCAGGAAAGAACGTTTCTCTAATACCAATTGATAGGGTACCAACAGAATATACAAATAATCTGCAGAATTTACACAAGAAAGACAAGAACAAAAGCAAGCTTTATTGAAGATGAACAAGAAGTTCTGGCCGAAGCCCCCAAATTGAGCCGAAGCCCCCAAAAGAAAGAGAAAGTTCTCGATCTTCCCAAGTCCCAAAGTCCAGTCTAAAACAGCCTGCCCTCCCCAGACTATTCTATTTATAGATTTCCAATACAGCCTACTCTAGTTATTATTTAATAACCAAAATATAACTACAACTAACTCTTCTATTTATTAGTCTAATAGGTAGATCTCTATCACTATCATTGGTATCAGAGCAAACGGTCTTGTTACCTGTAGTCCTGTACATGGTAGGAACGATGGAAAGTTGGGAGCGCACGATGGAGAAGATGCACGAGGATACCAGGCGTTTTTGCAAAGAGATGCGCAAATTAAGCTTGCAAAGAAACAATTGGCACTCGCGAGGAAGGTCGAGGACCATAAAGCGCTGTCGGAACTCGAGACCAGCAAGTTCGAGATCGTCGTGAGCAGAATTGGCTTCTTCCGATTCGTCGTCGCTAGCACCTGGTTCCAATTCGCAATCGCAAACTTCGAGTCACAGATCGCAGCGATCAGAAACAGCGGGACTCATTCCGCAGTCATCCCCATCCACGATGAATTCGCATAACAAAGCATCGCGATTGAAAGAAGAATCTTCTGGTTCGCCAGCTCAGACGCAAGATACTTCTTCCGGACCTCTGCCTTCGACACGAGTAGAAATCCCTAGTTCGCAGTCGCGAACTGCTGTTTCTCTCAGTTCGCCTTTGCTAACCGAGCATCTTTTATCGTTATCGCAAGTAGATTCTTACCCTGCGCCAGACTTGTCTCTTGATTCGCAGATGTCATTGCAAGCCATATCTCCCAGTGTGTTAGTGTCAACATGCCCACATGAATCATCCGTTTCAGAATTTATAACCATAGTCGCATCAGGAAAAGGATTTACAGGGACTATAATTCCAGAAATTCACTGAATTGAAGCAAGCAGCGCCAACAGTTTCAGAAAATAGCGAAGTTGACATTCTGCACGTATGTGATAGTGATATTTGTGTGGTGAAGTCCACAATGACTTTTGGGTTTGTACAGGAGAGGAACTGGCTTAATGTTTTAAAATTGGGAAAAGTGTCAAATAGGCCCCCCTACTAATACGAAAAAGTCAATTAAGCCCCGAACTCAAAAAATACCCAATTAAACCCACGAAGTATAAAAAACGAGGCAAAACAATTCTTTTAGCATGTAATTAACCGGTTCCCAGTTCCATTAGTCCACGTGTCGCACATGTGTCGCCAAGTGTTGCCATTTGTGGCCACCTGTCAGCTGTTGCCACGTGTAAAGGTTTACCTGGAATCGGTTAACTACATGCTAAAAGGACTGTTTTGCCTCGTTTTTTATAGTTCGTGGGTTTAATTGGGTGTTTTTTTGAGTTCGGGGGCTTAATTGACTTTTCCGTATTAGTAAGGGGCCTGTTTGACACTTTTCCCTTTAAAATTTGTAATGATGGACTGTCATATATTAAACATTACTTTGGAAGGGCTGAAGTCATTGAACAAGTTTGGTAGTTTCAGATGTGAGGGTGTTACTTCTATGATAGATAATCAAAATGGGTTGGAAGGAGAATTTTCTGGGAAAATTACAGAATATGAGGGATGGGATATGTTTCTGGTGTTGAAGTTGTCATGTATCTGATGTTTCTTAAAGATCTCAATCCTGGTCGTTTCCCTGAGGCCATTATAGTAGGTGAAGTGGTTATGGGACTGCCAGTAGATTGTAGTAGATTGTATACCTGTTCAAGATAGAAGTGTAGGTTTTGATTACAGGTTTCATATGGCAAGTACTGGTCCAAGACACAAAATACTCAGGAAAAGAGATAAGGAGTGGACCGGAAGGCTTGTTATTGATGATAATGAGGCTGAAACAGCAGTGTATAATCAGAAATCGATTGCTGGGATGCAATCATCTACTATGTTTAAAGGAAAAGATCCAAGTACCCATGATTTCCCTACAAACTTGAGGGGTGGTCTTTGACAGGAGAGCTCAGAATTACAGATTTCTTAAATGAGAAGACAGTGGGAAATTTTGTGGAGCAATATATTGAAACCAAAGAAAAGGTGAAATCGAAACAAGAATTGAAAATGGCCATTTTGTTTTTCTGGTGAGGGATCTGATTACCTGCTAGGGGGACCAGCTTTGGAAGTTTTACATGATAGATGATCCTTCTTGTTCCTTAGTTAGGAGAACTGCAACTGGAAGAGTGTATCTGCTTACTTGCTTGCTAGAGCCTTCTAGATCTCCCTTCTCAAATGAGATAGGTAAAGAATTAAAAGAGGAAGAAGTTGAAAGGTACAACAAGAAGTTTGCATCCAATACAGTACTAGTCTCAGAAGATGGAAACTATGAGGAGCTGCAGAAACATAAAGAATTCTTTTTTGCTATGGAGTGCTAGAAGGAGATTGGACAGAAGGAAATTCACTACAGATTCCTTCTGCGACTGAATGTTCTGACCTTAAAAGATCTCGTACTGAAGTCCCTAGTCCATCAACCAGTCAAGTATTGGGAAGGGAGAGGCGCAAGGATATAGGGAAAGCTGAAGATCTTGGCTGTCTCCTACCGCCCACCTTGAGGGCAAGGTGGATGTTTAGGGAGGGAGTATTGATAGAATGATAGGGACCTACCTATTAGATTAATAATAGAAAGAATAATAATAATAATTGTTGTATTAAGGGTGTATGCAGTATTGTAGTATAAATAGATGAAAAGGGGAGTTACTAGGCAGGCTTTTGGACATTCTGTCTTGGGACAGGGAAGATTAGAAATTAGTCGTCTCTATCTTTGGGGGCTTCGGCCTTTGTTACTGTTCCTGTTCATCTTCTTTAAAAAGAATTTTCAGTTGTTTTCTTATTAATCTTTCTGTAAATTGTTCTGGATTTCTGGAGGATTCTATCAATAAACTAATTTAACTTAAGATTATAATTTGTCAACATGTGAACAACTAAAACAAGGAATCTATATAAGTTTATACTTCTTTCACAGAATTATAGAAATTGAAATCATGACAGTAGCATATCATTATAAAAACCATTCACTTAAATTTAGACTACAACAACAGTTAATAATCTAAAAAAGGTTTGAAATGGAAAACCTTCTCCTCCATTGTAACACACAATTCTGACTGTGGCACCCACTTCATTTTGCAGAACAACGATGGATCTGATAGACAGAAAATAAAAACAGATAAATATTAGAGCATCTTTAATGCTACATTGTTAACATGGAACAAACTTTGACACATGGCAATCAATAAATGGAATGTTGTTCCATGTCATTTAAGAGTAATGTAGGGAACCGAAAAACTGCTCCAATGGGTAGTGTTCACAACCCATATAAACATTACGTATATGTCTTTTATTTTTAAAATAAATAAAAACTATCAAATCAATATTCTCCTATGTGTGAAAACCGTTCCAAATTTGGTGAGTAAGCATGTCAAGGAGGCTGTTGTATCACGACATTCATTGCAACACTGTCCACATTAAATTTTTACACCTCAGCATTACATAGTCCGCATTGGAGAAATAAATATGAGAAACGATGTTAACTTTGGATGATGCAGCGATTTTTATGCATGTGAACAGGTACCATTGGTGATGCTCTTAGGGATTAAGACAGTGACCGGATTTCATATGTAGCTGATAGATAACTATAACTTCAAAGATAATGTTTGACATAACTATTCTCAAATACACTACTGAAAAGATATCTCTACTCGTTATCTTGTGTCCTTAAAAGCAAATACTCGCAAAAACAATACAAAATCATTTACGAATCCCACTCCATCAAATTCACTTAGGTGGACCTAGCATTTCAATCTCAGGAAAGAGACTTGATGATTACACAATCACGTGAAGAACCATCTTCACCAAAAGCACAATAAGGCAGAAACTGTATCTGTTTAGAATATGGCGAACACAAATTACAGGAAAGGAAATTCTACCTTAGGAGCAAATGCGAGGGTTCTATGATGTATACCTTGGAGGTTTGTATGATAGTTTGAAGTTTCTGCACGTGAGTGCGTGTGATATGCAGGTATGGACTGAGTTTCTTCCTCTACGCTCCTTTTCGGTTGGACCATTAATAGCGTATCCAACTTCAGTTGAATCTCCGAGAATTTCATATCGTTTTTCCGAATCTGTTCCTCCATTCGTTTTTCCAGTCCAGCGATTTTGTCCTCCATGGTCGCTGATAGCTTGGGCCCCCTGAGAGCTTGGTCAACAATGGTGAATGGCGAGCCACCGTTGAGTTTTTTAGAAACAAGTTTTTTAAAAACGATACGGTTTGGCATAGAAACTGTATCGGTGTACAACTAACATAGATACCACGCAAGATTGAAGATGGATCCCTCACCTAGATGTGTGATTCGAGCAGATGGTTCCTCCGGGGGTGGCGATCTTCTTATCCGCCCCAGCTTCACAGCGCTCGCAAATCGCAATCACGGAATCCGTACCCAAAATTCAAATTAGGAAGAATTAAAAATGGTAGGGAGAACTACCAAAAATTAGGATTTCAAATCACCCCTTTCTTATAGGAGGCCTTATCCGACCATCTTAATTTGGGACGGTTCCTGATAGAATGTTTTGATGAATTTTTTTGAGTATATATTATTCAAGTCTAGTTTATTCATACCCAATTTCAGGTAAAACTTCAACCGGGAAGGCAGTCCAATGAATTTTTGAAGATAATTGCACAGTTAAACAACGCAGTATATTATAGAAAATCATTTGAGTTTTTAGAGTAGTTTATATGTTCAACTGTCAATGTATCCATACATTCTCACAACTTATGCATAATCTTTTGATATAATTATCCTAGGTATAACTAAAACTTAGTATGTTTCCTAATGTATGACTTAACCTGTTTTTTTCCCAATATAATACTAAAATTCGAATTATTTAATTAAAATTCGCATTAATTAAATAATAAATATTTTTTATGGACAAATATACCCTTTAACATATATCTATAAAAATCTAACCTCCTATTCTTTTTCCCCAACCCTAACCTCTGCCCTCCAGTCTCCACCGCCTCCCATCCCCGCTGCACGCCCCTGCCTCCGCCGTTCCCGACCCTCTGTCCGCCGTCGTCCTTGGCCCTCAGTCTGCTGCTGCCCAATAGCACGGTCGCCGCAGACCAGTGCATCTCCCGTAGCAGGTCGGCATCGCGAGTCACCATAACCAGCCACTGTCCGGTGGTAGGAAACGGAGGATTCGTCCAGATTGGCTGACGATTGAGGCAGATTCAAGGGTCGCGACTTTGTTTGTGGCAACATGGTGGGCGATGGCAGTAGATTCATCCAGATTGAGGCAAAGATTGGTGGCCGATGGAGTCAAATTCATGGGAAGTGATTGGTGGGCGATAGAGAGATATGAGCGGCGACTTGGTGGGCAGTGGAAGCAGAATTGTCCAGATTGGTAGCTGATGGAGGCAAATCCGCGGGTAGCGATTGTGAGCGATGGAGGCAGATTTGTGGGCTGCGACTTGGTGGGCAATGGAGGCATATTACTACTTTCTTCTTCTTGTGCAATGAACTCTTGCAGTGAATGATTAAGTTTTTTTTACAAAGCTGTGAATGAATGAGTTAGAAAATATACGTGATAGAAGAGTTTTGATAGAATTGTTTGATACATAGTGCTTCATTCGTATGTTGCTGATGCAATTCTTATCCCAAACCCTGCAGCCTTTCCACTTCTCTAGACTACTGCTGCAATTTTTTTCTTCAAACAATGATAATAGATATTGTTGAGTATAGTGAGTGAATTTAGGTTGGGCATTGAACATCGGCAGTGAACAATAACAATAAGTATTGAGTATGGAAGTGAATATGGCAATTTATATGTTGTACATGGCACTAAATGAATGCGTTAAAAGTTTGTTGTGCATTAAATAATTTATATTTAATGCCGTGAACATCACAAGAAGCGCAATGAGTTATGACAAAACGTGCAATGATATGGCAAGAAGTGCAATAATGTAAAAAGTGCAATGACATGAAAAGAAGTGCATTAAAAATGACATGAAAAAATATCTATATATTCGTAGCATTATATGTAATATTTAACCAAATGTAAGAACTAAAGTTATGAAATCTAAAAAAACGATAAATTCATTTTATGTAATGTTATGTCGTGCAGTGAATACCGCCATAAAGTGCAATAAATGTAGTGCAATAACGCCTTCATGAAGTGCAATATTTTTACCCGGACGAATTTAGTGTAAAATGCATATTTTTTAAAAAAAAGGGTATTTTTGTCCTTCCACAATTTAATATAACGAAAAATTCTTTTTTTTTTCAATTTTTGGTCATATTTCGAGAAAAAAACATAACTAGTCACATTTCGAGAAACTCACTTTGTTTTAGTCATATCCCGGGAATTTTTCCTAATCTTTTTCCTCATTTCCATATGTTGATATATTTATTTTGATTTTTTATGAGAATTGAATTTAGTGTAAACGTTCCTTTATACTCCCTCCGTTCTTTAATAAAAGTCCTTCTTTCCTTTTTGGGACGTTTTTTTTTTTATTTGTCCTCCTTTCCATTTAAAGAAAGTTTTTACTTTAAATATACCTTTATACCCCCACTTTTATTACCATTACCCCTTTCTCTTTCTTACTTTTTTCATTTACCCACTACTCATTACACCTTTTACACTACCCCTACTATTTTCCTCTTAAAACCCGTGCCAAAGCCTAAGAGGACTTATATTAAAGAACGGAGGGAGTACGGAGTATTGTTTAAATTTGACATTTTACACATATTTCCATATATTCTATTTTTTATACAATATTGAGTAAGGGAGATTTCCCAAAATGGGACTAAATAGAGTTTGAAATTCCAAAATAGGACTCTTATGTTTTTCTTCCCGAAATAGGACTAAGATGACAGTATTTACTGCCATCTTTTAGTCATGACTGTCAAATAGTTGCAGTACTATGCATTTAACATGACAGTATTTATTATAATTAATGACAGTATTTTTCAATCATAACAATAACGACTCCTATTTCGGGAAGAAAAACATAATGGTCCTATTTTGGAATTTTCAAAGTTATTTACTCCTATTTTGGGGTAATACTCTATTGAGTAATCATGATGTTATGTTAGAGATAAGAACATCAGAAGGAAAGTTTCACCGAAGGGTTTAGTAATCCTCTCCTTAATAGCACTACAATCCTCTCCTTAATAGCACTACAATTCCAAAAAAAGAATTCCCGCTCACTCCACTTTTACTCACATCCGTCCGATTCTCATATAAGCCTAATCAACCGCTTCTACCTTTCCCTTCGTTCCCGATTCTTTTTTCACCAGTTTCTTCTACTCTTTTTTCTTCCGTTTCTTTTCCTTCGTTCTTTCTTCTTTGCAAATCGGAGATCCTCACAAGTTGTTGGTACCATCGAAAAACAACATGAGTCATCTGGCCAGAAGTAATCCGAAAAAAGGATATGACAATTCATTTAGACGAAGTCACCTGTCCGGGAATCATCCGAAGGAGATGGCTTTCGGTCCTTTACATTTGTTCTTCTTCTGGAATCATCCAAGATGAAATCCAGCCGATTCTAAATGATTTGGAAGTAAACTATTCTTCTAAATTATACAATTCATCTTTTATTTTAAAATTGTTCCAATTTGCTAGATATATACTTTGTATCACTTAGAGCGTTGTTACATTTTTGTAAAGAAGGTGTTTGCTAAAATTCCTTAATCAAATATTTGTTCCTACAATCAGTTTTATATGCTGTGAAGAACGAGTAGAGATATTGTATACTTAATCAGTAAGTAATTTAGTTCGTATCTATTTATGTTGTCAATTTTCTTGGGATGGAGTAATTTGTCTAAACACCTGTTTTTTATATTCAGTTTTGGGGCTAATTACGATTCCATTACATTCTCCTGTAGTAGAGTGTATATCAAACCGGTGATGGTGAATGATAACAAGAATGAATCTTTTGTTAGCAAATGATTGTGATTTTTTTGTATGTAGTGTTCAAGGAATGATCAGGTACACGGTTTATTTTTTTCTCTTTTTTATTGAGAGATTTGGAAGTTAAGTAATTCCACAAAATGATGATGCTCTTCCTCTTCTTTTTACATTCAATGTCTCTTTTTCTATAATCTGTTACTTCTCTTCTTGGAATTTGATATTAGAATAAAGTAATGCAGAGGACTTACATAATACTATCTGATCTGAATTTAGTTTGGACTCATGTATTTTTGTTATAGTTATATCATACTCCATTGGTATAACTTCTCTTCTTGGAGTATTGTTTTATATGTTTAGCTACTTTATATTTTTTATAAAAGTTTTCTTACAGCAAGTGAGCAATCTATGTGTGGTTGGATAAAAAATGTGAATACTCCCCCCTGCCTGCTGCACATACATTTTTGGCTTCTTACTATTACTTTTTTCTTACTATTTCTTGTGCTTCAACGTAAACAAACTGAAATGAATGAAGAAGATGTCAACATAAAAGAAGCTGGAGTTTTTATACTTTGATATTCTGGAAATGGTTGGACTTTTCATAGTTCCATATTAAGAACAAGCATTTGGATTTTTCATAGTTCCATATTAAGAAAAAAGTCTTTAGTCCTTCGTTTATTTTTTCTATTCACTCAGGTAAGGTATTGTGGAAGGTTTAAACAGATTTAAACAAAGAATGGATTGTCAGGCACATGAAACCCCCAATCCCAGATTGAGACAAAGAATGGACTGTTGAGGAATCCACTTCAGGTCATGCATTATATGAAAATATATGCTTCATTATTTGCATATTTAACAATACATCAAAGTTTAGTTGCTTTTATATCTACTTCATTTCAATCTGTACTTGCAGATTGCATGTCATTACTAAACTTGGAATCATATTCATTTTATAACTTCATTGATTTGGTCTATCTTTTTTGGTTTACTTGCAGGCTGCTTCGAAATTTTCCTTGATATTGGTTTAGGTGAAACCCCACTTACTCTTAACAGGCATTTGATGACATAGGATGTGGAAGTAAATCTTTTTTTAGATAACATCTTTTAGATAAAATCTTTTAGATCAATTTTAGTAGTTATAAATAAACGCACTTCTGATTCTGCTTATTTATGTTGTATTTATATCATGACACGGGGCGACAAAATTATATAGCTTCCAGTATTAGAGATGCATTTCAGTTTCACAATCAACTCTTCTATCAGTCTTGGGACTAGGACTCTCTGGCTCATATTTTTTAATTTTTAGTATTCAATTTAGGCACAATATCAGATCCCTTTTCATCTTTTGGGTTTTTGATTTATTTGGGCAATGATCATTTTGTTAATGGATTTTCTTAATGCAGCCATGCTTGAGAATAACCCCTATAGGCAATACTATTTTCTAATAGATGGTATTCTGAATAGCAGAGGTTATATCCATCATTCAACCTCTTTTAAAATGGAAAAGAGGTTATACATGATCAAGGTAACATTTTCTTTTGATCTTATCAACATTCCAATGATTCCATATCATGTTTTCACGTGTACTAAAAAC